AAAGAGATCCTGGTCTCCTTTTCAGTTATCATCAGCTGCTCATGACCTCGGGTCTGGGTCTGAGGGACCCAGAGGGAAAGGGGCCGGTCTGGGCTGGGACTCCCGGCCTGGAATGCTGGGTGGAGGCGGACTTACCCCTGCCAGTTCTTGCGGAAAAGGAGGAAGCTGGGCTTCAGGAGCGCTGGCTGAAGCGCTAGCGGGGGCAGGAGGCTCTAGGGCATGCTCACCAGCTGACTCGGGGTGACCTGTGCCATGGTGGGGGGCCTCAGCCTCCCCCTGAGGTTCCTCTCCCGAATCCGACAAGTCTTTTTGCTCTGCAGAGGACTGGGAGCAAAAAAGACAATTTTCCTTCAATGTAAATAAAGGCTGCAACATGGGGCAGGGGATGGGCGGGGACCGAAGGGCTAGCGATGGCTCAACCTTCAGCAGCAGCTGCCCAGGACGATGGGCCAAGAAGACCTGCGCAAAGGGAAACGAACGTGGACTTGCTGCTGTTTGGCTCTGCAGGGAGCTCTGAGGTGTGCTGGAAGTCTGGACCTTCGTTTTCAAAACTACAAGGCAGCCTAGCATGGAGCAACTCTGCTTAGGGGCCGCTCAGTGAGGAAAATCACTCCTGGTGGCCAAAGGGGCATAGTGCCTCGATCAGGGAGGAACAGGGACAATTACGGCAAATCAGGTTACTAACACATCTCCTCAAAGGTGCTGATGAGGGGAGCTGCCTGCGTACCATTCCTGGCCGCTAGGAGAGGCAGGGAAGCAGGCCTGGGACTACGAGCTGCAGAATGGGCGCCCAGGGTCAAAGGCTTCTCCCTCTGGCTCTCTTCCAGCATTTCAACTTGTTCTGCTTAAATCTGAGACGAAGGAAGCCCTTTCTCATCTCAGTGAGTCAAATGTGGGGTGACCTGACGAGCTGGCAGAGGCACCGAAGAGCTGGTTTTCTATTATTGGGCGGGCAGGTGGGAGTTCGGCTGGAGGAAGGAGCCCCTTGGCCTAGGATGTTCCCAGGCTCACCCCAAGCTCCTCGGGCAGGGGCTTATTTGGAAAACCACCAGGGTCAGAGCTTGCTCCGGAAGTCCTTGTCCTTGAAAGGCATTCCTTGAGGTGGTTCTTGGGCTTCTGGGGAGGGGGCCTTCCATGGGCTGAGAGCTCTGAGGCCAACTCTTTCCTTGAGAAATAGGTTACAAAGCTGGTGTCCTGGAACAGATGGGCTCCGGTCCCCAAACCTCTGGCTTGGCACCATCCACGACATGGAGCCGTTTCTCTCACTTTGTGAACTAAATGACCACGGGGCTACCCCGCCTCCCCGCAGAGGCGGCTGTGTTTCTTCTGAGTGTGAAGTGACTGAGACCTCTTTAATAGGGGTGGGGGCTCTTAACCGTGTGCGCCTGTCGGATGAAAGGAACTGCATAAAGATTTAGGAGAACTTCCAAACATCCTTAGGAAAGCAAGAGCACCACATTAACTCACCCGTACATCTAAAGAGTTGCCGAAATGGGCTTTTCCTATCCAGGGGCGACCCACAGACGCAAACGCCTTCCTTCCCAGGCTGGCCCTCGAACCTGTCCAGGGCACCGAGGCCGGCCCACAGAGCAGCCTGCTGCTACTTTATGGCTCGGGATTCAACACCCGACCAGAGAAAATTAAACCCAGAACGCTGTGGGAAACCGCTTCTCTCTCTAATTGGAACCATGTGGATGTTTTAAAATCCCTGCTTTTACAACATAAACGTTCGAATGCCCCTGTGGCATGGCGGACTCAAGATGAAGCCTAAATTGGAGGTCAAAAAAGAGATACAAATGCTGTTCCGGCATTTTCTACTTGTGTCCAAGTATTTCTGCTGGACAAGAAAAGTAAGCTCTAAAAAACAAGGTATCGCCTGTCATTTTTCATCGTTTGTTAAAACCAGACATCAAGATTTTAGCAGCCTTTGACATCAGCCTAAAATATATGTGGCTGATATAAACAAACAAACAAACAAACAAATAAAACAAAACAAAAACAGGCACACAGGATATATTTGTTACAGTAAGCTTCGAAGTCTAAACATGTTATACAATGTTTTCGGCATCACCAGACTTTCTGCTCATCGCCGTTTCTGTAACTGCTTTCTTTTTACTAAACTGGCATTATCTTGCCAATGCAACCTCAAAGCTATCCTCCCACAGATTAAAAAATCTGGGAGATAAACTAACTGAAAGAAACATTTGATCATCATAAACAATAAGACGACCTACAGAAGGTGATTCAAATTCTCTTTCCATTAAAAAAAAACAAACCATCTCCATTCAATACAGTTAGTAAAAAGGTTTCGTTTTTGCCTCTAAAACAAATGCATGTAAAGGCAAGCATGTCACAAAGAGCGCCACCTTGAGGGAGCCTGGGGACACGGAAGGAAGTAAAGACAGTTCCTTAGCTGTCAGTTTAGGCCTTAGGATAGGAGTTCAGACTGCCTGACATCTTCATGAACATGGGACAAGAAGACTGACAACCTGTCCTGAGACAAGTGATGCCACAGGCAAGCCAGGACGCCACACCACCGATATGCTGTCTGCTGCAGAAGCGCAGACCGACAATGGGGTTGACGGAAAATGCTGTGTGGCTTCACCGCCAAACGAAAACGAAAAACGCCTCGGCTGGCAGCTTAATTTTTTTCTTTTCCATTTCAAATCTGTCATGTCAACCACGATTCAGTAGTAACAGCTGGGCCTGTGGTGCGCTCTCCTCTGCGGGGGACGCAGATCCTTTGAAGCACACCCCACGGAGGGTTGGAGACCATTTACTGACCAGGAAATTAACGGCCCCACAGCGGCACCGGGACTTCCTAATCTGTGGATACAGAAGTGGCTCAAAAAGAGCTATAAAGGCCATTTTGGTGACAATCAGGACAATTTAAACATGGATTATATATTGGAGGAAACTTCTGAATGAATGATCATTTTCTTGGGGGTGACAGTGGCACTGGGGCCATGCAGAGGAACGACCCTATTCCTGGGAGACACCTGTGGAGTTATTCAGAGACAAACATCGGAAGGGCACAACCTACAGTCGAGCACTTCCAGCATTTACGACAAAAACATTAACGGTGAAGCCGGGTAAGGATACCCCAAGCGTCCGCAGTACCAGGCTTCTAACTTTTCCAAGGATTTGAAAATTTCAAAATAAAAAGTGGAGGAGAAAAGGAGGGAAAAAAGTTTGTGCGGAAAAAACGATGGCAGCCCAAACAACCTTTTCCCAAGTCCACTTCTGCAGTGTGAGAAAGGGACAGGCTGACAGAATGAAACTAGGTCTCAAACTCTGTCAGGAACATCGTGGGGGTCTGCTTCGTGAGGATCTGCCCTCCCGTCTTCCTCGAAACGAGAAGCCACGCAGGGGGAAACAAAGTGAGCTGTCTGAGCTACTGCTTACTCCCTCCTCACTCTTGAGCTGTCATAAACAAGAGAGAAAGAAAGATTCCATGTCTATTTGGCCACTATCCACCTGACAGCTCAGAAAGCGGTCTTAAAGGACAGTCGCAAAGGCTCCTCCGGCTTCTGCTGTGTTGTGTGGTTTCCCGCACCTTTTCGAGGATCTCACGACAGAGTGTGGCAGAGGTGGAGAGCTGAACTTCGAAGGGCTGGAGGTCGGTTATCTTTGGAAGCCAACTTAGAGCGGGCTCTGAGCCAGCATTTTGATACGGACCACACCTGCACGTTCCCAGCCACTCTTCTGGTCCAAACCTCGCCGTTCACGTAATTCGCATCAACGTCACACACATAAGTCAGCCCTCAGACTGCAAACAAACGGAACCACCTCGACTGTGAAAACAGTACTGAAACAGGAGTTAGTCATTTTCAAAGCATTTGAAATTCAGCTGAATATTATATTTTAGTTTTTCATCCTGCTGCTTGTCCGAACGTCGTCAGGCTTAAATAATTATTAATTTCTCTTACTCTTTTTAAATCTGGGGTTGGCAAACTTTTTCTGTAAAAAGCCAGATACTATTTTTGACTCTGTGGGCCATACTGACTCGGCCAAATGACTTCACTCTGCTGTTACACCCTGCAGGTGGCCTCGGCTACAGCGAAAGGGATGGGTGTAGCTGTGCACCAATAAAACTTTATTTACAAAAACAGGCGGTGGTGGCGGGCCTTCGGTCGCTCACCCCTGCTTTAAACTAAAGTGGTTCAAAAGATGATCTCGATTTAACGAATAATCTGAGAAGAGAAATGACTTTTACATCTAAAAGAAATCGAATACAGCCATTTCTAAAAGCTAGAGGAAACGCATCAGCCCTTCACAGCGACTGACCCTCCAAAGGAGGGATTGGGATGGCTGCCTGTGTGTGTCAGGGCCTTGGGGAAAGGAGACAGCAGAGGCTGAGGTATCTTAAAAATACCACCTGGAAAACCAAAACAAAATGAGAAGAACATTTCCTCAGGTTTTGTGATTGTTTCTCCAGCAAAGAGCTAACGATGGGAAAGTTTAATGGGCGAACAAGCCTGATAAATGAGCCTTGCCACCAAGAAGACGCCCCGCGAGAGGGTGTGGGTGGCATTTTCTGGGCAGCGGCTTCTCCCCTCCGCCCCCCACTCGCATGCTCTCTTCCTGGCACAGCACTTGAGCGCTGCCCAGGAAAACTGGGCCACACAGAAGCAGTAACTGGGCTGCCAAGAGTCCCAAATCGCAGCCCCCAACCTCTGAGCAGGCCACCCTGCAGGGGGCCCGAGGACCCACCAGAGTACCTGGCCTGCGGGGCCGCCCTGAGCGGACTCTCAAATGCTGTTCTTATCAACATGATTGCAAATGGACTGCACAGCACACCTACCGGCAGCACTTCGTCACTCTGAAACCTTGCCGTGGGCATTAAATTACACCTGCTGTCCTGGGGCACGGGTTGGAAGGAACCACATAATAGAGTGAGTCTCACTTAAGCTTGGGAGGCGTCGCCACAGAACATCAACTGCCTTTGGACACGACCCCAGCCTTCCACCTTGCCTTGTTGGAGAGGGGTTTGGAACCAGCGACTTTAAGATAAACAACACGCGACGTTGAAAAGCTGCTGTGGCACCAGTCAGGCATCTGACAGGCTGCCAGCTCACTGCTGCGCAGCAGGCAAGGTATTTCCAACGAGAGTGTGATCGGGATATCTCAAATCCAAAAGGGGGAAGCGACCAGCAAAGACGCGACGCAAGCCAACTAATAATTACTCTAAACGCATTTGTGCCCAGTTGGTTGGGCCCCCCCAAAATTCCCCTAAAATCTTTCATTAAAGGTGCTGTCCTCCACCCCAACCACCACTGTTCACTCTCCTCTCCTCTCTCCCTGTCCCTCCTCCTCCCCTCCTCTCCCTCCTCCCTTTTCTCTCCCACTCTTCTGTCCTACCAGTTTTCCCAAGGTACAGCAGCATTGCTAGATAGAATCATCGGCAATCAGAAGGAAGCTTTCTACCACCGTTTTTTAAAGCAGGGTCTCTGAGCCCTTTCCATACACACCCATCTCAACCTCTCACCACGGGAACCGGAAGCCATTGGCCCTTCTTCCTCCAAGCTCAACGTAAGGCTTAAAGGGCAGACGTAAGGCTTAAAGGGCAGACGCATCCTTGACCATGTGACCCGGGGAGACCTCAGGGAGAAAATGAATGTGACGAGAGAACGCACGGGCCCCTTACCTTTTGTCCTTTATCCTTCTGAAACACAAAGACAGGTGGAGCAATGGCAGGCTTTTCTGCAAAAAGAAAAATTGGTGTTTTTTCCCCCAACACTATATTCATGCAGTAAACAAAGCTACATTTGTTTGTAATAAGTTAAAAACAAAAAACAAACCCAATATGAAAATAGTAACTCCAACGAATATCAAACTAACAAAACAGTTTCATGACGTGGAGGCGTGAGGTGTTCAGTTTGTGACAATGCGACACGCAACAGTTGGGTACGTGTGCTCTTCCATGTGCATTTATGCATCAATAAAAAGGCTTCAAGATTCACTTAGAACAGGCCATGTCACTGATCAAGGGAGAGTGGTGGGGAGGGCATCCGAGGTGGCCGCTATTCAGTGCCCACTAACTGTGGCTTTGTAGAAACTCGGCACAGAGAAGTCAGATCTTTATGTGGCATCTCTCCAATTTCAAATGTTGGAGACTAGTTTAGGCTTTTTATCTTTTTCAAATCTGCAGGCCACTTGAGGCCAGAGGGCCACCACCTTGCAACCTCTGGCCACACAGCTCATACTCTTTGGAGAGCTCACCCTGGACGAGTGAGCCCAACATTCCCCCCCGTCGCTAAGTGAGCTCTGTGAATGAAAAAAGAACTTCTGGAGCTGCCAAAGTCTGAGAGTCCATCTTGCATGGCTGCTGCTGAAGAAACTGGGATGTCCTGTCATGCGACGGGACCAGGGCAATGCCCCTGTTGTTAGTGGGCAACACCATCTGTCTCCTAACCAGGGGCAGCCCGGGGGGCCCCTGCCGCCAGCCAGAAGACTCTGGGTGCGGGCCGCCCTGATGCACGGGGAGGCCCACACTGCCCTGGGCCTGGGCATGGCCCTGGGCTCTTGGCGCACACGTGAGCCCTGTGGGGTGTGCGTGAGGTCGCTTTCAGTCTTCAAGGGCAGAAAGTGAATGGGAAGCCAGGGGAGTCGTGAATTCGGGGGGCACCCACTCACTGGGGGATGATCAACCAGGAAGCTGCCTCGCACAGTGCTGCCCCAGCAGGACTGCTACGCTGGGCGGGGGCACAGTTCACAGCTCAGGTCGGGAGTAGCTCTGAGTGTCAGGGAAACGTCCCTGAGAATGCGTGACTGTGCTGAGTCTCAAGAGCCCTCAGGGAGAGCGGCAGGAGTGAAGGCACGAAGCCTGCGTGCGATGGTCGCCATGTGGAGCACTTGGGACGAGCTGTGAAAGGGGCGGGGGAGCGCGGTGCTTCGTTTAGGTTTAAAAAGACATTAGCTTGCGGACCGGGGCCATGCGGGGAGACGGGTTAGGAGGCAACAGTAATTACCCACAATAAAGATGGGGTGGAGATGAGGTTTGAGGGGGAAAAGGGACAAGACTGAGGTGAACAACGGACCCTATCCCACTACCCACCCCCCCAAAACTCCCGCTCTTCGGAGAAGCAGGACAGTCGCCAGTCCTGACTGTGATGCAAGTGGCCCACTGACAGCGCCCATCCCCTGCGCCGCACCACAGCCGGCCAGGCTCACCACCACGGCCCTCACCACGTGCGGTGAACACAGTGAATGATGTGCACGACCGAAGCGCTGACGGAAGAGCAGAAAGGCTGCCGGCGAGGCCGCCCTGCTTCCCGCAGCCGCCATCTCCAAGCAGCTGCGTGACTGCTGCCCGACAAACCAGGGTGGGTGAGGGAGTGAGTGAGCGAGTGAATGAGCGAGCCTAAGCCAGGGAATAAAGGACAGCCGAGGAACGCGGGAGAGACTCGGGAGAGCAGCAGCTTCTCCACCCATGTCTGCCACAGGGCACCTCGAGATCTTCTGGCCTGGCCCTTTACTCCACAAGCCCAGCACTGGGGCTGCGGGTCCAGGCCCGAGCCTCACCTCCGCGCTGACTCCTGACCAGCTGCCAGGTGCTGAGGTGCACGGAAGGAGCCGGGGTTTTGGCAAGCCCACCCCCACCTCCGCGGTTCAGATGGAGTCTAGCCCTGGGGACACTGTGGCATGTGAGTAAGGCGAGGCCAGTGACGGTGAGTGATACTCGGGCCCAGGACTTTTGCTGAAGCTACTGGGGAAGGCGAGCTCTCTCTCTGATGGGGCAGCTGAACTGGTGGGAGGTGACCCTGGGGCTGCCGGCAGCCATGTGTCATCACAAGGGATCCTGGACTAGAGTCCACCCAAATCCAGAGGGAAGCAGGGCTGGAGACACTGCTAGAGGCCCCGGGTCTGGCAGGCCCTAAGCTAACCCCACCCCCAAGACTTTTCAGATAAGGCAAGAGATGCTGATTTTTTTTTTTTAAACACCTATAGCACCCTAGGTGGTCTCCCATCCAAGTACAAACCAGGCACGACCCTGCTTAGCTTCCGAGATCAGAGGGAATTGGGCTTGTTCAGGGTGGCACGGCTGCAGACGAGATGCTGATTTTTGCTTAAGGCACTCTGAACTCAATTTCTGTTGTCTCCCACAGCCTCCAGTCTGAGAGGCGGGGCCTCGCCGCTGCAGACGTCATTGGACACACACTATACTATACTCCCTAGAAGAAACCTTGGACTGGCCTCACAGGGTAGCAGAGCTGCTTTCTCTCCTGATAAGCTATGTATTTACGGGTTTACGGCCTGTCTCCCTGACCAAGACATCAACTCCAGGAGATGGCAGACTGCCTGGTTCCCCTCGCTGCTTGTGCTCTGAGGTCAGTACTTGGTGCCCCGCAGGGATTCAACAAATATTTGATGGAGGGATGAACAAGCGGAAGGGCATTGGAGAAAACGACTGCCAGGCTAGGCAGGAAGGACAAGACGGAGAGAGAAGCATTTGGATGGTAGAGGAAGAGCTGTCTGATCTGCAGGCACACAGGAGGGGCTGCATCAATTCAGGCAACCGTGGGAGGCTTGGGCTGCCTATGGGCCCCTGGGACAGGACAAGACAGGACCACGTGGCAGGGTCCAGGCATGAGGTGGGCGAGGTCCTATCTGAAGGAAGAACAATTCTGCACGACAACTGGGGACACTGCTCAGCTAGGGGCAGAGGGAGGCGACGGAAGGGACATGGGGGTCTGAACTCTGAGAGCAGCAACCCGAGGAACAGGAATGCAGGGTGAGATCTAAGCAGAGCCGCCCTTATTAACTTCCAGCTCCTGTTCCTTGGCCCGCCCCTGCCACCACCATACTTCAGACCTTCCTTCTCCCTCTGCCTCACTCTCAGCCCCTAAGTCTGGCTTCTGCAGAGCAGCCAGAACCACTGGTGTGAAACACACGCTTAAAACTCCGCGATGTCCTCCCAGACTAGGGTCAGAGCTCCTTCCAAAAGGCCACTTCCCACCTGACCATTACTACGGCTCTGTCCCCTGCACATCCATGCTTGTCACACTTCTGGACTCCTGCCTGGTTTAGTCCCTCTGCCTAGAACACACTCTCATCTTCTGTTCTGTGATCGACACTTATTCATGTATACATACCTTCTCCTTCAGGAAGCCCCCAGTTTGAACTAGGCTCCGAAAACATGCTACGGCTTATATCCTGCATGGGTCACACTGAGGCTACCTGCCAACGAGGCCAGCCCGTCCCCTAGTGCGCACCACGTAAGAATCATCCAATAAATGTTTGAACTAAACTCCCTCCGTACTTCTTCACACGTGTAACGCCAGCTGCTGTGTAAGTACGTAAATATTTATTAAGCCCTTATTCTGTGCAAGGCATCATGGGAAAAATAAGAACAGGAAGCTGGGGACAGAAAACTTTAGGGTATGACATCTGATTAAAGGATGGGTGGATTTGTATAGATGCTCGTCGTGGGGTTGTTTATCCGCTCGCTGGCAGCATCTACACCTGGGACAAGCTTAGCAAGGGCGAGGCCTGTTGTGTTCATTCATGTGTTGAGCCACACATGGAACGTGTCTACGAGCAGTTACAGAGCGAATGAAATGTCCTATACTGCAAAGGCTACGACCGGGGAGGCAAGGGCTCTGGTGGCCCACCTCGGGTCCCACTGGGACCCCCGCAGAGGGCAGGTTTGGTGGTCGTGACAAACCCAACTGCTGCACTAAAACACAACAATGAACTTGTCAGTTCTCTACCGAAAACACAAAGCACCAGAATCACAGACGTCTCACTTCTACTCAGCTCAGCAGGGCCAGACTTCCCTGAACTGCAAATTAGCATTCGTATTACAAAATGACAGCACGTGCACCCCCTTCCGAGTAGGACGGCCCCGCACTCAGAGTAGCCACAGATGGTCTTCTGGTTGTCATCGAATAAGCAGCATTTGTTCAGCTAACTGAAACCCAAGTTTGGGGAACAAACAGGGGACAGAAGCAACGAGGCTTCTGTGACTTGCCTGAATGTTAATCAAAGGCAGACTATTTTGACCCAGATTCTTCCAATCAGGTGTTTTTTTGTCCTGTGAAATGCTCCCTGATCAAACTAGTTTGTAAAAGAACAGTCTGCCTGAGCATTGGCGCCACACATCAGCACAGGAAGGGTTAAGGAAACCAGCAGTAAAGGGGCCTGTTAACCAAATGTTCCCCAAGTCACTTGACCAGGGAACCCTCCTCTCCAGAATACCTGTGATGAGGCCTGAGAATTGTGTTCTGTGGGTAACTGTGGCCCAGAATGGTGTGTGAAGTGGCTGGGATTCAGAGCCCCCAAGTCACCTCCAACAGCCCCCCCCCGCTTCCAGTGGCACCTGTCTGGGACACATCAAGTGCTCTGGCCTGGCCTCACCACTGCTTTCCAAGGTGCTACATGCCAAATCCAAGAAGGCTACTGCTCGATCCAAACCCTCCTCATTCCCACACTCTGGACAGCACCCAGCCCAAACCCAACTGTGACGCCAGATGACGATCACACACCCTAGCTGGGAAAAGTCCCAGCCTCCTCAGCTCTCCTGCCCCTCTGTGCAAACTATGCGTGTGGCGGGGGTGGGGTAAGACACTGGCCAGAAGCTGAAGGAGCAGCTGATGATGTCCTGGCCCACAGAGCCAGCCCCCTCCCGTCCCCTGCCACCATCCACTGGACTGTTGAGGTTCAGATACAAAGTAGGGCAGCCCGGCTGTGATCCCCAAGGACGAGGCCTGTGCCCTGGATCTGGTCTTTGCAGTCTTGGTGATGAGCACGGGCAGGTAGGCCTGGGCGCGGAAAGCTGCAGATCTGCTCTCGTGTCAAACCTCTGCTGGAAGTCTGGGTCCCCTCTGCACACACACCATATCACCCCTGCTGAGGGGCCCTGCTCCCAGAGGCATTGCCGACATGGCTGTGACTGTCAACGTGCTCTGTCCAGCCAGCTGAGCCCAGGACCCATGCCCCCAGGTGCACCTGTTGCTTCGTTCATACTCAATCATAACATTCACGTGGCAACCACACCTTTAAGCCATGCCATATACCCAAGTGCACATTGAGGACCAGGCAAGGTACTGGCTTCTAGGGCGTGGTGGTGACACAGAGACTTGTTCCCTGCCTGCCAGGCCTCGACATCAGGCTTTAGTTGAATGTTACAACACAACGGATGCACGGAAGGGACACAGAGCGCAGAGCTGGGGTACTCGATCCGGAGAGCCCGCGGAAAAGGAGTGAACTGGGGCAAACTTCTCGGAGGAAGTGCAACTTAAGTGGCAAGATGAGCAGCATTTAACCAGGTGACCAGGAACAGACATGAATGAGGCAGCAGAGTGCAAGGCGCACTGGGGGGAACTGGAAGGTCAAGGTGGCACCAGTGGACTCCAGACTCTTGAGGACAGATGGGAAAACAGATTGCTCTGGCCAGGGGCAACAGGAGTAGAGCGCGCCCCCTCCCTCGGCTGGGTCTGAGGGCTGTGCATTCATACCTGAGTGATCCAGGTTGCCGGCACCAATGGCACTCAGGCAGTTCTTTTCCTGAGGTAACGAGCCAAAGATGGCTCAAAAGAAGGCCCCCGGGACACAGACCATTCTCCCCGGAGGAAGCGCAGGTCTCTCAGTGGGAGGGTGGTCTCCAAGGAGGCGGTCCCTTCTTCTAAGCAGAAACTACCAACCTGGGGCCCCGGGACCTAAAAAAGGCCTCAACTGGCTCGGGTGCGAGCACAGGAGGGTCTAAAAGCCCCACGCTGATGGCATGCCCATCATTTGGAGCACCACGCCGTCGTCAGGGAGAGGGCCCCTCAACTGCCTCCTCCAATATGGGCAAGGACGGTGGAGAAGAGGAGTTTGAAACAGCCCCACTTGAGGGAATGAAAAGAGCGCGCTTCCCAGTACCACCCGTACAGCAGGCCATACACGGGGCTCGTACAGCAGGCCAGACATGGGGCTCGAGGTTTTTGTTTGTGTCTTTTCTCCTCAGAGACTGACTGGTGGCAAAACCCTTAAGGCAAAATGAGGTGTGAGTCTATTTCAGAGGTAGCAAGGAAGGGGGATGGAGAGGGACCCTGCCCCAATCCAGTCTAAGAAGGAAGAAGAGGCCTCAGGGAGAAGGTGGGTGAGGAAAGGAGGCGGAGCCCGTGCTGCAAGCAAGGGAAGGACAGCAGGGAGCTGGCTGGACCCGAGGTGGCCCTGGAGGAGAAGAGTGTTCCTCAACCTCAGGGTGACAGAGGTTTGGGATTGTCTTTAGACTTCTCCCAGCCTCTACCACATTATTCACAGCAAGAACATTCCCAAATGCGCTTCCCCAAAGCCCCAGGTCGGTTTCGTGCGCAGTCATAGAGCCTGCAGTATTTATGGGCTAGGCAGGTGCCCAGCGCTTTATCTGCACCATCGTCCTAATCTTTGCAACCACCTTAGGGAGTAGGTCAACAGGATGTCTGTTTTTACAGAACAGGAAGCAGACTCAGACGGACATCTCAGGTGGGGCTGGGTCTCCAATCCAGGTGGGCCTGACTCTGAAGCCCAGGTACCTAAGCTACCCTGCTCTCTACACACTCCAAGCGCAAAAGGGAGAAGTCACGACCCCAGTTTGCTTCCTCCCATCTTTTCTGCTCGGGTGGGCCTTGAACCTAAGAGACACACTTTTCTTTTGAGAAACGACATCAGGAACAAAGCAAACGTCAGTTAGCGGTCTAGATACACATCTGTGGAAGAGTACAAACGAAACTACAGAGCAAGCGAAGGATTTCGGGATGGGCCCCGAGGCTTCTGACAAGTCATGTGACCATTTGCTTTGGTCAAATATGCACTTAAGCCAAGAGCTGATCCTCTGGATCCTCAAGGAAAGAATCTGGACTCACTCCGAGGCGCACACTCGACGGTGAAACAAACAGTGCTGCCTTCACCTGTCGAATGTTCAATCACATAACGTTTTGATCACACACTCAGAATCTAAGCTGAGGCAGCAGCGTGCAAGGTGCACCAGGGGAACTGGAAGGTCAAGGTGGCACCAGTGGACTCCAGACCCGCTCCACTGCCCCCTTTCACGCAAACTCCCCTTCTTCACCTGGAGGGAGCAACGCACACCAAGATCAAAGGCAGGCCTGGCCTGTGACAAGCTTTGGCACCCTCCTGCGGCTGCCTCCAACCTTTGTCTCTGAGGATCTCCGTTAAAATAAATAAAAGAAAAATATGCAGACCCAGAAAAACACACAGACAAGGGAATTTGGACTATCTTTCTTGTTCTGTTTATTCGCCTCCTAAATAATGACTCGAACCCCTGCCAGGAAACACCCCTTTTCTGGAAAGCCACTTAGAATTTCTAGAATGTCAGCAAACTACTGGTATAAAACGAGCTTTAATCCTGGGGTTATGTGTCTTAATCTTCTTATCTGTGCAAAAAACACGGAAAGCATCTTGCCAACACAAATAACAGCATTAATACGTGGCAACTGCTTTAATCCTTCGACACCATCTCAGCCCTTCAAGTCATTTCTTTTCTCAGGAATTATTATAAACAGTTCTGTGCAGCAACATAAGGGTGAATTTGTCACTAATGTGTCAACTCTGTTCCCAAACTCATTCTTTGGTGAAGAATGACACTGACCTCAGCCATGCTGTTGCTAGGCGACGCCTCTCGATGTTCGAGTGCCGCATACTCAGTGGCCGCTCAGCCCACCCAGTGGAGGCTGGCAGGCCCCTGAATTCTTTTTTGGTGTTCAAGTACATTTCTCCTCGGGCAACTCTCAACTGGTCTCACGGACATCACGGGGGGGGCACAGTTTGGGGAGATGACGCTATCTTTTATGCACTTCTTTCTGGAATGCTCTTCATCCTGCCGTTACCTTCACCTACTGAAAGCCAAGGCAAATTTCAGTGCTTTCATCTTACTGCCGGACCCCTAGCCTTCCAACAACACACGTCTGCTGAACGGCCTTTACTGGACCCGGTGGCAGGTGCCCCACACGCCCAGTCTCATTTAATGTCATCACAACCCCCATGGCACAGATATTATTTATCATCCCTAATTTGCAAATCATGAAAACAAAATCGAAAGGCCTTGGACAGACGGGTGCTTTGCCTAAAGTCACAAAGCTGGTAAGTGGAGAGGTGGGACCAGAACCCGAAGCCTGACTTTCCGAGTCGGGCGCCTCAAGTCGCCACTGACTCCCCTGGGCCAAGTCAGTGTGCCTTCTTCACTTCTACTGATTGGTCCTGCAGCCAAACCCTCCACCCCTGCCCCTCCCCCCAGACCAACCTGCTGGCGGAAGACCCTGCACTCTGGGCACCTCTGTGCCTTGAATCCAAGAGAAACCCCATAAACCTATTAAATAAATGACACAAAATCAGCAACTCGACCTAAGACTACTGAGAAATTCAGGGATCCAGCTTTGACAGACAGCACTTTTCTATTCTGCCACTAGATGGCATGGCTCCCAGCACAGCTGAGGTGAGGTCGAAGTGGCTGAAGATCGGATAAAAGTTCCCGTAGAGACAACGGAAATCCTCTCACAGGAAGGAAATCTAAAAACTACAGAACTTCTGCTGAGGCTGCAGACCATAAACTGATGAAATTTGGGAATGCAGGCTCTAGTTTTTGTGTGCATTCAAATCAGTCTCAATCACTTGGGCAAGTTAACTTTCTCTGTACACTGTCCTCATTTGCCCAACAGGTATGGTACCTACAGCCCAGGCAGTTGCAGGAAGGACTGAACGAAACGGTGCATATAAAGTGGTTGGGAAGCGGCTGGCATGCAATATGAATTCCTCACTGGCATTATTATATGGAGACGACTGCAAATACTTTGATGCCACCTTAAAGCCTAGGTCTTGGATTCGAGGCGTGTCCCCAGCTCCCAGACCTCCAACCATGATAACCTGACGTCTGAATGAGCGTTTGGCGCCTTCCAACAGCTGCCTGGGTGCCAAGACACCTCAAATGCTCAGTAGCTCAGAATCCCTTGAGCCCTTCTGAGGCGAGACCCGTTGGAGAGTCAACTGGCCAAGCCTTGCTCCCAGCAGCATGATTTACTGAGCACCTGCTATGTGCCAGGCACCAACCTCAGCACTGCAGACAAGATGAAAGGCAAAAGAAGTCACAGCTCTCCAGCGGGAAAAGAAAACGATCAAGCACTGAGTCATGAGAGATAATTCTGGAGATAGGGGCTGTAAGGAAGATAAAGCAAAGCAAGAGGTGGGAAAGAGCGAGTGGGTAAAGGGGACCGTAGGGTGAGCACGTGGGTGGGGCCTCTGAGGTATCATCTGAGACTCAAACGTAAAGAAGTGAGCTGGATGCAGGCTGAACATCCTGGGCAGAGGGAACCCCAAGCATGCAAGTCCTGAGGGCAGAAAGGACCTGGAGGCCAGCACGGCTGAGAGTTCACACAGGGAAAGGTGGGAGCTGGGGGGTGCGGGTGCGGGTGGTGAAGAGTCTGGGTTTCTCCAGTCTAAAGGGAGGCCGGTGGAGGAGTCCAAGCAGGCAAGTGACACCATCTGGTTTATATTTTTAAAAGACCCACCCTGGCAGTAGTGTGCATGAAATTCTTCCCCTTTTTGTATGTTAGAAAAGTCCTGTAATAAAATGCTGGCAAGATCATCCTGGGAGTGCTAAGAACAGATCGCAGGGATGCAGGAGTAGATGCAAGGGACCAGTGAGGAGCCTCTAGGAGTCGTCCAGGTGAGAAGTGGCAGTGGCAATGGCGGCTCAGGCTAGTCTTGTGGCCTTGGAGACAGGGCACAGTGGATGGAGTTGAATATTTTGGAGACAGAGCCTGCCGGTCCCTTAGGTGTGGGGACCGGGATGGCTGTAACGAGGCTGTGAAGGCATGTCTTGCTCTCTCAGTGGCAGATGCTGGCAGCTGAAAGAACTCTTGCTCCTCTGACAAGGAGACCTGTCAGGGTGCCCCTGCTCTCAATGGCAGTGATGACAACTCACCCAGGCCCCACACTCTTAGACCCCCAGACGCCACTGCCCCCAATGCTGCACAACAGCCTTTCTCTGAGCAGAGGGGAGCCTGTTTTCTCACTCTCACCCCCCCAGAAAGCCAGATTCTCAAGAACTGTTTTCCTCACTCCCGCGCTGCTGCTACAGATGCGACACAGGCATTAATCTGGGTCCCAAAAGCCCCAAGTTTCTGTGTGGCGAACCTGGGGGAGGTTAACTTAGCCAAGGGATTTTAAACTCGCCGCCGAAGCAAGTCTTACCTTCTAAACATGTGCATGGAGTAACTACCACCTTTTCTGCAAGTTCTTATTTTCCTCTGATAGTGAGAGCAAATGTAGTGCCCCACGTGGGGCAATTTTTGGGAGGACAAGTGCCTATTAAGTTGACGGTACTGGTCCATTGGAAAGGATGACCATGGGCTCTTCGACTCAGTGGCTGGAGGGCGGCACACTGGCACCGGCCAGCTCTCTCTGCTCACACACCTTAGGCTTCAGCCCCTGATATGAACGGCCTGGACCCAGAGCATCTCTGAAGGCCCTTTCCAGCTCTGACATCCTGTCAGGTCCTTACTTTGATCTGAAAGGTCATGGAAAAAACGGTTCCTCTTTGTTAACAGGGTAGCGAGGTCCACGACGCCTACTTAGCTGCCAAAGGCCACAATGGAAAATGGTTGGGAAGGTGAGCCCTAAACTCCAGTTGGCAAATAATTTATTCCTGGATAGTTTTACTTACTCTTATAACCCAGGAGTTCTCACTAGTGGTGACTCTGTCCCTCCTGGGGACAATGGACAATGCCTGGAGACATTTTTGGTTATCATGATGGGAAGGAACTGCTAATGCCATCCAGCAAGTGGAGACCAGGGATGCTATTCGACATCCCATGGATCACAGGACGGTCCCCCAGTCACAAAGAATGACCCAATCCCAAAAGTCAACTGTGCCGAGGTTGAGAAACCCTGCATCAATTATTTAGAGAAAGACTGAGTTAAGTCCCTTAATTCCCATTACACACCAGCACACGTACCGAGGTGCCAGACAGTATGAACCAGGGTGAGGTACCTACCCCCACCCCCACTGAGTGTGTGAACATAAATACGTGGACTAGGACTTTAATAGATCAGAGTCTCTTAGGGGGGTCAGTGAAATCTCCTAACCTGGGGAAGGTCTCGAATGGGGGTGATTCTGCCCCCAAAGGGACATCTGATAATGTCTAGAGACATTTTTCCTCGTCATGACTCGGGGTAGGTGGGTGCCACTGGCATCACGTGGGTTGAAGAAACTGCTGAACACCCTGTGACGCACGGAGTGGCCCCCACTGGCCCCACTCTCCATGATGCTGAGGTGAAGAGACACAGCTCTAACCTCAAAGAAGCTTTTTCTCTACCCAAGCATCTACTCAGAGGAGCAACAGCCAGTTATAACTGACATGCACCCACACAGGCGAGTGGCTGAATGACCCACGTTCCTGCACAATGACCTTTGAACTTGATTAGCATCATTCCCACTCCACAGATGCAGGAACTGAAGTCGAACAACTTGCCAAGGTCCTGGGCAAGTGAGTGGCAGAAGCAAGACACAGAGGACAGTCAATCCAGGCGCTTTGACTGTGCCACAAGTGATCTGCCTGAGCCTGCTGGTCCCAGTTTAAAATTCCCCCGGGGCAGGAGAGACAGGGGAGAAACCCATGCGGATCTCCCAACAGGCACCACTCAGGCCCTTCACACTGGGGCTCCACTATCATGCGCCAGCAGTTCTCAAACTTTTGGTCTCGGAACCCCTTTCCATACCTGTAAACTACTGAGGATCCTCAACAGCTTTTGTAAATGTGGGTATAGCTACTGATACTCACCACATTAAAAATGTCAAAGTATTAATTTATTTAGGATAATAAGTCAGTAAAGGTTTATCTGAATACTTTTTTTTTTTATGAAAAATAATTTTTGAAAAAATAAAAAACTAGTGAGAAAAGGTCATTAGTTGACATTCTGACAACTCACTCTAATGTCTAGCCTAACAGAAAACAGCTAGATTCTATTTGCTTGTGCATTCCAGCCGTCGCTACTATAACCTCTGGGAAAAAACTCCACTGTCCATTCATGAGAGAATGAGAGTGAAAAGGGCAAATGATGTCTCTGTATTGTCATGAAAATAGATTTGAACTGCAGTCCCCTTGAACGGGTCTGGGGGACTCCCAGGGGCCCCTGGATCATCTTGGAGAACCACTGCCACATGCTGCTCTCCGAGTACTAGCACTCGAGGACACTGTGTCCTGAATCAACTGTGGGCCGTCAGGAGGTTTCTGCTCAGGTTCTCCGGAGAAAAGCAGAGTGGGAAGAATGCTGCGTCTAAGAGGGGTACGACCGAGTGGAAACACAAATGCCAACCCGGGTCAGGCAGGCACTGGAAAAGGAGGAAGTGGGCCCGGCCCCAAACCACTCAGCGGAGACTGTGGTGTCTGGGAGGGCACACAGTCTATCTCAAGGGCAGCAGCTGCCCTCAGTCCTGGCGAATCATACTGTGCAGGAACGCAGGCCGAGGCTGGCTTCCATTTTTCAAGAGAAATCAGAAACCAGGATTATTTTTTCCCCAGAAACCACAGAATTCTTAAGTTTTGGCTCCTAATTAAAAACAAAGAAAAACCTAAATGGGCCAAATTAAACATGTCTGCTTGCCCCTGAAGTAATTTCGCAACTTCCGCCTATGGCTTTCGACTCTGGCTTCATGTCGTAAAACATGTGTGGGGCTTTTTAAAACTACAGATCCCCCTGGAGTTCCTGCAACAATCTGATGGTGCAGCCCAGGCATCAGTTTCTGTTTTCCTCCACACCTCCCCAAACAAGTGTGACACGCAACCTGGGTTAACATTCACAGTGAGTGCTATGCGACAGCAGCAAGTGCCAAGACGACCAAGCAAACTGTGCACACGCAGGGCTGTGTTCCGAGGCCCTGTGCTACCAAGTAGGAATGCACAGTCACACCGAACAGGACTCCATTGGACCACAGGGAGGTTACTGAGCAGAGGTGGCAAAAATAAATCCTGTTCAAATAAAACAAAGAACCCTGCTGCTTGCTGCCTACACTACCACCAGGTCCTGAATAGATAATGATGCAAACCCTTCTGCCTCTTGACTGCTTCAAAGTACCATGGAGAGCTACCGAGGCTCGGCCAAGTTCTATACCAGCTACCTCTGCCATCTGTCTTTCTCGTGTATATGAGAAAGACCCTTCTCAGGGCACCGGAATGAATCCCACTGATCCTGGAACGGCCCTCATTTCCCACACTACCCTAGACTACTCTCTGCCTGAATTCACTTACTAGGCCTGAATTCAGCTGGCACTTAAAACGCCCCCTTTGCCTACCGCAAACACTGCCCCTCCTCCAATCGCCATTCTAACCTCATCTAATTCCTACCGCCTCCATGCACTCCAATTCCACTCTAGGTGCACACCAGATCCTGACTAGCCCTAACACCCGATGAGTGTGTGAGGGCGATAGGACCGCTGGGGTAATTCCATTTTCCAGTTAACTGAGAGGCAGGCTGAAGATGTGATTGAAAAGTTTTAAATTTGCAGAACTACAAGCTTTTCCATCTATATACAAGGTCCTGGGCAAAACTGAAAATTTCTTCAAAGTGTAGAAAGATTTTGCAGCCTCTGAGGTAGCATGACACCTCTCAGCTACTACCAGGCCTCATCTGCTATAGACGTGAGCGTCACATATACACGCTCTGATCTCAGGACAAATCCCAGAGTTAATGTTTATCATAACATCATGAAAAGTTTTAAAACGGTTGTTTCTCGCTTATCCTAAAAATTAAGTTTAGGGTAGGGAAATGGAGTGGTGAGAATCGAGTGAACTGAGGATTCCAACTGAGTTCTGGCTCCTCAATAACAATTCAGCTGCAACTCATCCTCTCAGGGATTAGATTTGTCAACAAGGTGAAAACTGTGAAAATCCGAACCATCCTCGAAAATCCCTGACACTTAGTCAGGCTACATCAGTGGTTCTCAACTGGGGCAACTGTGTCCTCCTGCCTCTCCAGACACTGGGCAATGTCTGCATACATTTCTGGTTGTCATAACTGGGGGAGTGGAGAGGGTGCTATTGGCATGCAGTGGGTTGGGGCCAGGGAAGCTGATCAACATCCTACAATGCACAGGGCAGCCCCACGACAAAGAATGATCTGGTTCCAGATGTCTACAGTGCTGAGGCTAAGAACCCAGGGCCAGATGACTGCACACTGAAAGGCAGGACAGAAAACTAGGGAGGACTAGTAGCCCAGCTCCCGCCAGCCTCCCATCATGGGCTCACCCCAGGGCCATCTCATGCGGTGGGGTAGATTCACCCATGCTATTCAGACTCTTTTCTCAACTCTTTCTCTGCTGAACACTTAAGCTACATGTGTCTACAACGTGAGTCCACTGTGATGAGAACAGCTACCACTTACTGTTCATTAATGTGTGTGGAGACAGGTGCTAATAACCTATATGCATTAATTCATCCAAAGCTCACAGCAACCACGAATTAGATATTATCATCATTCTTCCTATTTTACTGGTGAGAAAACTGAGGTTCAAAAGGATTAAGAATTTTCCCAAAGTCACTCGGAGAGTACAAGGCAGAGACGTAACAGAAATCCAGTTTCTAAGGCAAAGCCTGTGTCCCACCATCACTTTATATCGGTGGGTCACAATGCTGGGTGGTTCTTCTCATCCCCTGCCCCGGGACATTTCGCGATGTCCAAAGATGTTTTTGGTTGTCACGCCCCCCGGGTGGGGTGCAGAGGAGACTGTGTACTACTGGCATCTTCTTTACCTTTATCAAGGTCAAAACACTGCCTTTAAATCCTGATGTCGGTCTATAAGGCAGAATAACTCCAGAGACAGGATTCATGAATTTGGGATGTATTAATAGCAAAGCATCAAGCAGAAGAGAATATCCCAAGAAACACAAGTGTAAAACACACACACGCACTCCTGAGAAGCATTCCGACTGGACCTGAAAAGCCACGGACTACAGGACCACCAAGGAAGGGCTGTGGGAGTTGCAGTCACCTTCCCTGAAGTGCTCGCCATCGCAGAGGACCAACAAGATGCCCTACCGATACACCACTGGAAATGCTTTTCTGTGCACAAGCACAGCACTCCTAACCTGTCCCACTAGAACCAGTGGTTGTCAAGCCTGGATGCGTATCAGGGACACCTGTGCTGCTTTCTAGCTGTACAGATGCCCGGGGCCCACCTGACGCCTCACAGATGAAATGGCTGGGGTGTGGGGACCGAACACTGGTAGTTTTAAGAAAGCTCCTCCAGTGATCCTGATGCCCAGCCCAGGTAGCTGGCCACTGCTTCAGACTCACACAGAGGTGGCAATGGCCTGTAGAAGAGAGATAGGGGGTATGGGGATGGACCAGCTTAGGGTCCTAGTCTGGAAAGACAGAAGCCAAGAGGCTGTCTAGAGCTTAAATAGCAAGAGAGAAAGAACACAGATGGGGCAGTAGAGACTTCAACATGCGCAGGCAAAGAAGTCTTAGTTTACGCAGTGGATAAGAAAGTAAACATCCAAGCCAAATCCAGAAACGGAGTTGAGAAACACATAATGACCACTTAAAGGATGGCAGGGATACGTGAGGAATAAAAAGCCACTGAGAGCTTATTTCCCGAGGCCATGTATGCCAGAACTAGTGTCAGAAGCAAAGTACTAGGTGAGTGTGGCATTTATCAGGCAAAAACTTTCAGTATGAAACATTCCATTCTCTATTTTATACTTACTCGTTCAACTATGCCATTTACAATCGATCCCTCAAGTGTCAGTGTATGTGCTAAAAATGGTCATATATGTTAGAAATGGTATCAGAAAATAGGAATCCGTAATTTTCCCTTTATGCTCAGAGGTATATCTCACAATGAAGTACCTCACTAATGAATTCATTCATTCATTCAACAAACGCCTCTTGGATACCTACTCTGTGCCAGGCACTGTTCTAGATATAAGGGATCCATCAGTGATCATGACAGATGGCATGTCTTGCCCTTATGGAGCTTATATTTTAATGGAAAGGTAAAACAAGTCCACCTAGCATGCCAGATGGTGAAAAAGCAGGGCGAAGGGAAAAGGGAATGTGGATATCATTTATACAGGTGGTCAGAGAAAGCCTCAATAATAAAGTGATATTGGAGTGAGAAACTGAAGGAGGTGAAGGAGTAGGCCAGGGGGATATCTGGGGGAAGACTGATGCAGGCAGAGGAACCAGCAAGTCCAAGGGCATTAAAGAGGGAGTATGTGGACCATTCAAGGGAAAACAGTGAGAAAGCCAGAGTTGGGGAGAGAGTGGTGGGAGAGGACAGTGAAGTATCAGGGGGCCACTCCTGCTTGTGGGTTGAGCAGTTGTTAGATGGCTAAAGGTAGAAAGGAAGCCCAAAGGGCGGCAGTATTTGTAGCGAGAAGTGGTCACCCCTGGAAATATTAAGATAGAACGGACTATGGCATATGAGAGAGAGGAGTCAAGGGTGACTTCGAGGCTTTGGCCTGACTCAAATGATGGACTTGCCATTGACTACAATGTGGGACAGACAGGTTTGGGGGGAAGATAAGGTTTTGTTTGGTCAGCCTATTAGAAATCCAAATGGAGCTGTCAAATGGGAAGCTGGATATGAGTCTTGAAAGCAAAAAACTGAATGGACCAAAGAGGTAAATACATAAAGTGTGTCATATTCCCATTTGTCCAGTCACTCATCCGCCTTTAAATGAATCTTATAAATGGAAAGTTCAACCCTCTATGGGCTCCTTAATCTTATAAAAGAGATAGGGCATAAAATGGTGTGGT